CTCAGCTATATTAGTATGCTCATCAATAGATACAAATATCTTATAAAGTAAAGTTTCAAAGTAATCTCCAAGTACTCTATTCATTACAAAGTTCTCAAGTGGAGGAACTGAAACAAACATTTATCACAATCATAAGCATTTACTAAGGGTTGATGATTATGGGTTAAGGAATAAAAGACGAAATTCCATGTTTGATACTCTGATCAAAACACGTGGGATGTAGGGAGAGCACGAGAGAAGCGTAGGAAAATTTTTGACACACGCGAGCATGTTTTGATACTGTAATCAAACATGGTTTTCAACCAATCACAGCGCACGTAGTATCCTAAATATTTTAGAATACATTATCACACTCAATCATTCTGTTTTTGTATTTAAAGATGTGGTAATAAGGCATGATGTAATTCTGATCATGTATATCACTTCTCTTTAGGAACCATACATTTTTGTTTGTTTATTTGGTTTATTTGGTTTTCTTTATTTGCAGGTATTTCATCCTTACTTCTTACCTACTATATAATCTTCATCTTTAATTGGTACTCCCATATATATTAATCCTTTAGTATAAAGACCTACAAGATAATAAATATTGCACATGTGGTATAATCATTTTATGGGAATGTGATTATRCAGGGCCTTTTGATGTGATTAATTYAATCTGTAAATCTGTACAATGTGCCTTCAATGAAGATGGGAACAAGGACTTGGGTTGCTGCACATCTTTCTGATTAAGAACTAACATTGTCAAAGTTATGTCAAACTATTTCACATTTTATCATCAATCTGTCTAGTTCAGTTAAAGTAAGATGTATGGGCTTCCTGTGTATTAATTCATATGTTATAAATCCAGTSCACACCAACCTTCAACTACTTTTAGATCCATGTGAGCTGCAAGTTTAGGCCCTGAATCAATGACAGAATCAACAGCCTTGTGTTCTAAAGCTGAGCACATCTGCAAGAAAGAATCCATATTAAGTGACCACATTCTCARAACTGAGCCAATCATCATCATTGTTCTTTAGAGGAAGTGCAAAGCAATGAGCTCCTTACCCTAATGTCATCTTCTGTGACGTATCCTATGTGTACCGTCCACCAAGGCTCAAGAACTTTCAAAGGAACTGGTTTTGTGGGTAGAAGATCTTTTACTGGCTTTCTTCTGAAGAATTTCTAAGAAAACAAAAATAACTCACTTGTAGAAAAATAGAGCTCTGTCAACAGGAAAAAAYATACCATATATATATATGTGTGTTTTGCTCATGATCCTGTTTTATTTTGAGTTTGATCCTTTATTCTCCCAAAATCAAGTGATCTCATCCATTTTAACATCTGATTCCAAATCCCTATCCAACCAGCTGTGATCCAAACCCAAAGCAAAAAATCCTGATCCCGGATCCCAAAATAGCACAAYATTTCTGATCTCTGACCATAACCACAAGGAAACCTTCTACAATTCTCATTTAATCCCTATATCATGCATGGTATGTGCCTATTCCATAACGTTAACAACACTATTGAACATCAAGAAGTGATCACATACCTTTGAAGATCGACATTGATTCATTAGATCTATGTATTGATTCCTACCAATTCCTAACAACCTCAAACCTGAAAGATTGCAAATTTGCAAAAAAATACAACTTACTTTTATAAACTCCTGAATTTAACTCCTAACCCCAAAAGAAAACATAGAATTTATACTCGCAGGAAAATGTTTTCTATCCAGGATTAAGATTTAGATTAATAGAGGGATTAACAACTAAGCTACAGTGTCGTGTTTAGCTCCTTTTAGAGTAAATATCTGGACATTATTTTTTTTATGCACAAAAAGTCGAGAGAAACTTGGCCAAGCCACCGTAGAACATTTTGGAAACTTACAATCAGCTGCTGTGAAGTTTGGTAAAGAGTCATAACTTCTTTCACTTTGCATAATATCCTGCATAATACTACAGTAATACGCAAACGGTGTGATGCGTAAACCCTTGACAATGACATCAGATAGATGGTAAGGATACAACTGTAAACAACAAAAACACTGTCAGCACATGAAAATATAATGATGAAAAAATATTCCTTAAGCTATAATCACTAATTTATTAATTACACTATTATCCCTGATGTTTGAGTCTCTCTAGAAAGACTCTTTACAGCTGAACAATGCCATATTGCCAAATACRTTACTAATAATAAATATGCTATGATATAACATTGATTCCATTCATGACTTCTAATTATAATTATGAAAGTACAAAATATATAAAATTCATACCATCAGGTGTTGTCTACTGTAGTGTAATAAGTCTTCATAATATTTCTTCTCATCTTTCCTAACATGTTTAACTATTAGAAAAAAGTTACAGATCTATCAGTTTCTTTCTAATTCTTTTTTCTTTGCCCGTTAAATGCACGCAGTAGGTAAAATTGTTTATGATAACACAATTGTTTATGATGGACAACTGGTGTAAAAGATATTCTGCTACACTTTGGTGTCCTTATTGTTCATTAGTACTGTAGATCTTGAATCAAAGTTTATAGCAATGGCAACAATTTTAGTGTTAAACATCAAGTTAACTACATGTACTTGACTAAAATAAATCCCAATCATTTTTTTGTCAACTATGTTTAACTAAGAAGTACTCARGCATGAAATTATACAAAGAAAAGCAAACAGCTAATCATGTGACTTTTGTTCTTTGAACCGTTCTACTACAGTAAAGTGCAATTCTAACCACATATGAAGTTTTATATACAACGGATATGTTGTGACATGCACTTGAGTTGTCKTTATACAAAAGTTGTAAAAAATCTATAAAGAGAAGTCACTACAACATGTAATAAAATAAACAACTTAATTGGAAATTTCAATATTTGATACTAAAAGGTGCCTATAATTGACCAATCTAATATTCATAGTAACAACATTACAGCAGGTTTTATGGAATAATAAGGATGCATGGACTTCCTTGTTGAGAGACAATAAAACAACTGYTTCCCGTTAAAATGAAAACAAGGACTTCAAACGATTTGTAGAAACGGTCAAAAGATTACGTGAAAAAATAAAAAGTTCAAAACTTCAGTTTCGWAGGAATTCTCACCTGTGACAAAATATGAATTATCGATGAGTCAGAAGTTGGAAAGAGGAAGAGAATACTGTACCAGTAACAGAAAATCACCACAAAACGAGTCCAACTTACCGATATTCCCTCGATATCTCAGCTGATTCTTTACRCTGTATTCAAAAACACTCTTTTCCCATTCTTTCTGGCTATTCCCCAAGCTCTATAAAGATGAATAAAATATGTTATAACAAATAGCACAAGTCAGCTAGCTTACACGCGATAACACCCCCAATAAGAGTCAGACGATACCTGTTTAACGTTCGCTGGAAGGCGACTCCAAGGATAATTGTGACGGATATGGAACTCAAGGTCAGCATTTGATGATTGTCTAGCCATTTACATAGTTATCTATGGGAGAAACCTTCTTAGATGGCTATTTATTGGTCTCCATTGAGTGTTCCTATCTTTTGGTATTTTGGACAACCAGGCTAATCCTTGTGAGGAAAACCGCTGACTAATATTACCGCGTTCTCAAGATGGCTTCGCTGAATTTTCCTATTTATATAATTTTTTAAATTTCTCTGCTTATAGTTAAGATTAAAAAAATCTGAAATTTGCCGAGAAAATGCAAATGTAAATAATTGAAATTAAGGATTCTTTCACATTAAAGCATAACATAATTTTTATCATTTGAGTAAAATTCAACAGCAGTGTAAGCGAAGTTCATTCTAATTAATATAATTTCCAAAAGGTTTCAAAATAGGATAAAATATAGTCATATAATTAAAAAATGCGAAAAGTAGACAAAAAATAGTAGTATCTTCTTGGGCTTCCTGTTATTTTACATTACCAGACTTCAAAGTCTAACTGAACGGGGAGAACCTGGTGACTAATAGGAGTTTGTTTTGCAATTTTAGAGGAATTTTTACCAACTTTGATAATGTTTAAGAGAAAAAAAGARCAAAACAAGGCTGACAAAGACAGCAAGAATGAGYTGGCTAGTATGGTAAGGCATACATATTCGTTTTAATGGGATAGTTTAGATTTTTAAAGAAAAAATATTGTACATTTCGTTCGATGTACTTTATCAGGTTTGAGTATGATTCTGCAAATTATGTATTGTCCAAAAGAGACAAGCTAACTTCCTTAAACCTGTCATGATCTAACAGATTTTAGAAATATCRACAATTTGGCACCATCGACGCTAGTTAATCTTAAAATAGCGAGAGYTWTCTATTATTTTCAATGGCTTTTTTAATTCATTCCACACCAGTAAGCAATGTTTATTTTTAGCATGATGTCATAGTAATAATGATGATTTTGTTTAGACAAATTGAACCAATTGCAAAGATAAAAAAATGTATTATAAAAATTACATCTACAGGAAAACAGAAGTGAATCTTTAATTGAACTTGAATTATTATAAAATGTTTTACATGATTGTCGTTGAGTGCATGGACTGCAAATCGATCGATGCCTGGACAAATAGACTTTCAACTAGACCATGTTAGTATAAACAAACTAATGGTCTATCACTCATACTGCGCTGTGATTGGCTACTCTACTTATGGTCTAATTTGTGATAGACCACTCGCGGGAAAATCAAAATGGCGGCATCTCATTAATAAATTATTTTAAGGATATTTCAATTTGTTTTCATTATTTGACCGATTAGTATGTTTATACTAAAACAATTAGACCTCTCGGCCTCGTGGACTACAAGCTAATAGCCCATGAGGCCGAGTCCGACCTCGAGGTCTAATTGTTAATTAGTCCATTTGAGACCAAGCAAATGACATAAGACAACGGGACATAGGACAAAGTTGTCAAGAGAACATAAATTTTTCTCTACATTTTTTCAACTGTTAATTCAACTTCAATCAATGTAAACATGGCCTTAACATGACCTTAGTTCCATAGCCAGTCAAAATGCTAGATTTGTGATAGTATTATTCCCTCATGTTTAACTATAATAATTACCATTTTGCCTATTGTTTTATTTCTGACAATATATACATCTTCTTGGCAGCTTGGTGGACTGGGAATGGACCCCAGTGAAATGACTTTTGGAATTGACGTAAATGCTGATGATGACRGTGATGATGATGACGATGAAAGCTTAGAGGCTGAGCTGGCTGCATTGCAGTCAGAAGGCGGTCGAAACAAAAGAAAACAAGGTTAAAAATTATAATACCTTAATTATAGTGTACACATTCTGATACACATGTACTATAATATTGCATAAGACAATGAWATTATTTTATCGTTAAGGATTCTTTCCATTTATTAACAATTGCTTATATTGCTCTTATTTCACTGTGATGATCTCAATTCACTTTACATGTACACAGTAATTAATAGCGGAGCTCCAGCGCGGGCCAAAGGCCCGCGCTAGCGGAGCACCATAGCTAAGAAAAAATGGTATACCATCGAGTCGATTTTCAATGGACCGACACAGGGTTCCCGCGCGTACGCACGTTTCCGTCCGTCCTTCCGTCCTTCCGTCCTGGATTCCGTGTACCACCACAGGAAACCCATACTCCGCTCGAAAAGGAAACAAAGCGCCAAGTATTTGTTCAAAAATCGAAATTTTTTCCTTAAACATTTATATTACATATTGATAATATTAGAACAATTAATCACAAGGAAAATATCCACTGAAGAGCGAAATAACAGCAAAGAAATATTCCCGCCAATTTTGTCATAACTTCGACGCGTCCGCACATCCGGGAAATCGATTTGCGAAGATGAAAATCAATTTAGGCCCATCTTAAAAGTGATATTAGAAAAAAAGATTTTACTTTGATATTTCGACAACAAGAAAGAGATGATACTTTATTGGAAATACTTCAATAATATGGACCAATATGGGAAAAAGCAGGGATCTATGCGAAGTTCTTTTGTCGACTAAAAGTGTGGACATTTCGAAACCAAGACCATGCTAGCAGTTAGATTGAGAGAGATTAAAAACAAAGAATCTACAGTCTTGAATGACTTAATAAATTGATGAAACTTATGCTTGAAACACGTATGGCTCTGTTGAAGATGACCTTTGAACGATAATTTATCGGAAGTTCGATAATGAAGGTAAAAAATATATTTTTGTATACAGTTTTCTGTGATATGTGAAGTTCGAGTAGTCCGGGTTCAAACATCGATTATTGAAACAATGTTGATTATTGTAAGCTTATGTAGACTACTTTTTGCCGAGAAGCTTTCAGTTTACTTTTAATTATAATTTTAAACTTCATCCAACGGAACAAAATCTACCGAAGTCAATATAATAGTACGAACTAAATTCTCATAAACATTCTCTTTATAATATTTGTTCGCATGTCAACAAAACTGTTGTAGCTCACATTCCTTAGAACAGAGCATCTACCTTTGAAATAGCAGTACTAGATAATCATTTTCAGCTTCTATATTGCTATTGGAGCTCCGCTATTAGGTGTTACCTAATTTTTATATTATTGATTTATGTTATTATTGGACCGTGTTATAACAAGGGGCCTATTTGCAGATGTTGCTTTTGTCTTACTATGTTTTTACAATGGATGTTATTAAAATACAATAAACTTGTTGAAAAATTTAAAATACTGCAATGAACTTGACTATTGTGGTGGTAATTCTGTTCTGCAGATGATGATGATGATGATGATGATGATGACCTAGACAATCCAGATCTTCTGGTAATGAAATAATTTTGAATTGATATTGTGTTAAATTTTGTTTTATTAAAAAAAGTCCAAAATATGGTGTAGATGTCTACAGAACAAGCTTAAGGCTTCCAYAGTTTTTGTGTTTCTGATCCAATTCTGACYACCTTTTCTTCATATTTTGTTTGTGTGACAAAGTGTCTTTTTTAGTGTTTGATATAATCAATGTTTACCAATAACTGGACCCCGGCCTAGTTTATTAGACCTATACTAAAATGATAATGATATTATATAAACTTAAAGTTCAATCAGAGACTGTATTGTTATATTAGGCAGAACTCCAGTGCATTGCTCCTGAGGAAAACGTAGTATCAAGAAAAGATCCAACTCCTGTTTTACAACCAACAAAAGCTGATTCATCACAGGTATAGGAACCMTGTGGTGTGTTCRATACTGACCAACCAGTTAATTTAGTTGCTGCTTGTTTATCAATTGAGTTTGTTTTCCTAGGGAAATGCATCCTCATCAGATATGTTWCAATTGACTGAAAGAGAAAAAATGTACCAAACAGCAATAGAAAATGCAGAAAMAGCAGGGGAATCRTCCAAAGCCAGAAGATATGGAAGAGGCTTAAAGGTAATAACTTAAAATTATAGCCTCAAATTGGGTGACTAAAACTAGCCTAATTTCTATTAAAAACCTAGTATTTTTCAATTGTTTCTTTTAGTTGTCAAATTATTTGTCTTGTATCTTTTAGCAAATAGAACAAATGATTAAGCAATGTAAATCTGGGAAGCCTGTCGACCTTAATGAATTGCCTCCAGAAATATCTACAGCCTCAAAAGCACCACAAAGTGCTCCTGCAACTGTACCATCTCCCGCACCAGCTGAACCACAGAAACCAAACCCAGAAGGTATGGTTAGCASTCTGCAATCCGCAATCCAGTTGTCCGGGTTCAGATTGTCATCATTTCTGATCRATTAGACAGGATATTCAATCTGCATGAAATTCTCAACTCTTGACTCTCTCCAGTATGACAAAGCTCAGGCAGCAGGGTATAGTGTCCAAGAGAAAACCCACCCYTGACAGYAGTGCTCCATTCTTTTACCCAGTCCCTACTTTTATTTATAACCTTTGTTCACAATTGAATTATGCACTTGAAGACTTATTGACTTGTGGTATCATGTTACATTATTTTTCATTATTTYATTTTTCAGTTCTACCAAGTGTTAGTCAGTTGAAGAAGCCATCTACACCAGACCAACAAGAAAACAAGGTACGATATTGAGAGTAGTCCAAACCCATCCTGTTTAGTCCACTATTGGTCAGCTATACCTGTAACAAATTTGTGTAACTTAATTATTTAATGAAAAGTAAACAATTTTAAAGTTTTTCACAAAGATTTTCACAAAGGAGAACCAGAAATGTTTGATAGTTACAATCATAGGTTTGAACTCCTGATTCCATGATGCATTAATTGTAACTGGTAAATTCAAATCCTAGAATGATATGGTAACTGGCTTCATGTGAGTTTCTGAACAAATTCTTGGTAATTAATTTGCCAGAAATATGAAAGACAGCAAAGACATTAGTTTACATGTATTTCCCTATAATGATATTTATGTATGTCACCTGAAAAATCATAAAATAACTTCTTGACACATTTATTCCTKTTATACAGCAWACTAGTGGGGASCAAGAAAAAGCATTAGARCTACTAAAAACAAGACAAAGTCACTATAAAATGGCTGCTTTGAGCTGCAAGAGATCTGGTGATATTGCYCAAGCCAAACATTTTCTAGCTATATCCAAGGTGCGYCTCTACTACTAATCRTTAAAAGTACAGTTGACCCTCAGTGTGATGTCCAGACCCTGAATTGTCGCACTATAATTTCTGTAAATACAATAGAGATATCMATATTGTGTACTGTACAGTGGTTTCTGTATAGAGATGTTTGTAGAAGAAATGACAGGGAAAAAATTGAACACTGAACTACATATTGTATACAACACATTGATAACCTTGGAGTGTTTCTAAAATATCAATTATTTTTATTCCACTGTACAATAAATAGACTTCACACGTTTCTCAAAACTTAAACCTCATGTTATCATTGATGTAGCAGTCACTAACTGAGCATAGTTTATCAAGACATCATAGTTACATAATTAGACATACCAGCCTGTTTAGATCTGACCAGTCTTTCACTTAATAACTCATCTTGTAAAGATGGACTGAAAGAGCAATCCATTACAAATACTAGTTGACRATGGGCACCAAATTAATGACAGCTTTTAAACGACTGCAATATTCCTAATTAGTTAAAGGTAATATAATTGTGATTGTTTTGTTGTAGCAAATTGGAACCATGATGGCTGATGCTCAAAACAACAAACCAGTTGAYTTATCATCATTACCTCCAGAGCCAACTCTCCCAGCTGCTCCCGGTATGCATTGRGGTCATTGAGTGGAGGGGAGAAACAYTTTTATCCCTAAAACTAGATACCAGYTGAAAATGARCAAAATCCWTATTTTYAGTCATTCTAGAGACATGAATCTCAAATACCATCTGCTGTAAAGCATTGCTATTGTCAAAAATCCTCCTAAAAGCAGACCAGCAGATCCCAGATTTTTAGCCATGAAAGATACTCAATAATTATCTCCTCACTTCAATATAATTATAGGATTTCTCTTACTCTCCTTGAGGCATTTGTGCTATCGTTATAATTATGTTTTGGTTCCACAATCATAATAAGATATTATTTTATGATGCATTATAATCAATTTTTTTTGATAACCATAAGAAATATGTTTCCTTTAGCTAATCSTCATATGGAATCAGAACCCAGACAACAATCAGGTAGCCCAACAAGAGAGCCAGGACCCAGTACTCAGCAAACCGACCCTGGTCCACCCCCACCCCCTAAGGATGCCAATGAAGCACTTCAGCAGAGATTGCAAAAGTATCAACAGGCAGCAGCGAAAGCACAAGAAGAGGGGAATTCCAGTAAAGCCAGAAGAATGGGACGAATTGTGAAGGTGAGTCTGATAAGATCTTACAATTTATTTTTTATCATTGAGCATTTATTTTACAGAACACTGGACAGGCTTCTTAGCATACATGTATGACATGAAAACAGTTTTTTGCCTGTTATCATGACTGAAGTGGTTATTCCTAAATCATTGACAAATTGGATTGGTTTTATAAACTGATTGATTGATTGTAAATGATTGATGGAATTGGATTGCTGGATTGATTGATTAATTGATTGATTGATTGTCAATCAATTGTTTCTTGGATTAATTTGATTGGTTGCAAAACTGATTGACTGACTGAATAATTGATGTTGACTGACTGACTGACTTATTGTTCGATTGTTTTTTATCTTATTCATATTCTTTGATTCATTGATTGGTTGTTGGACGGCTCATAGGGAGCTTGCTTGTAAAATAAAATCAGTTGAACAAAAAATTAATCAGTTGAACATCTCAACAGCAATACGAAGATGCCATTAAAGCTTACAAAGCAGGCAGACCAGTTGACTTTGAAGAGCTACCTACTCCACCAGGCTTTGAGGAAATTCCTCTTCCCAGCAAGCCAGCTCCACCACAACAAACACAGGTTGGGTATCAATTGATTCTGAAAACCATGATGACTTATAATAAATAAAACCAATTTTACAAATGCAACTTGCCATGAATTTTTATATATTTTATTTACATAGTATTGATATTGTGTTATGGGTGTATATGATCTTCGCAATGTAGATAATAATCTAAGCAAACATGTGACCTCAGGGATGCTGGTGCTGGCTCTACCAACTGAGATATGAAGCCAACTATGTTGGCGAGCAGTCATTTTACTGGGTGAACCCATCCATACTAAGAATAATATTATAAAATTATAATAATATTAATATAAAAAGAGAGAGAGATTGGATTGTTCAAGCAAGTACAAAAATAATCTTTAAGTACATTGGATTTAGGTTTATATAGGCGGATCTTTGTTTACATGATTTTCCTCATTAGCATAAGCTTTTTTGCTTTTAAACAAGCTAAATCCAAATCTATACTGAATATTTACAGATATTAGCTCAATTAGCACTCCACGAAAATTTGAGCTTGATATATCTAATAGATTTCGCATAATATGGCTTTAAAAACTACGAATTTTACAAAGAATGTATGGGCTCATTAGCGCTTTGCCACACAGACTTTGCCACACAGAAAAAAGCCACGAAATAAGAAAACTTAAATCAAAACTTAGAAAACCTCGTAAATCTACAGATTTCACAACACTTTGAGCTTTTTGCATGCAATTTTAAACACGATATATCAGTTTTGAGAACAATGGAAAATCGGGCTGTGTGGCAAAACGCTAATGAGCCCATACATTCTTTGTAAAATTCGTAGTTTTGAAAACCATATTACTCCAAATCTATTCCATGGATTTAGCTCAAATTATCAATAACAGCTAATCTTACAGAGTTCTTTCAATATTCAGTGTGTATGTGGTGTTAGCCGAAAAAAAAATAAAATTTGGTGTACTGACAAACATTAAAATCAGGTCTTGTCTATGAATGATATAAGAGTTTTCATGTACGTTCTTTGTTTGTGTTTGTTTGTTGGTAAGTTCTTTGCTTGTATCACTTAGGCACAAGCAGAACCACAGGCACCAAAGCTTTCAGTCCAAATCCCACAACCTGCAGCTCAAATACCACCGCAAAGACAAGGGTCCTCAACGAGACAAGGACGCAATGAGCAGCAGCTGAACTTCTTATTAGAGAGACAAAAAGAGTTCAAAACAGCAGCTCTCAAGGCAAAGAAAGCTGGTGACATTGATGAGGCTAAGCAATGGTTAAGAATGGCAAAGGTAATAAAAAAAGACAAGTTATGCTTGAGGAAAAGTGACCAACAACATCTTCTGTCATTCATTATAATTCAACATCTGATTCATCACCATCTACTATCTTTGCACTCTACTGAAAATACTTATAAAAGACAGTTTTCTCACAGTCTCTCTATTGTTTTGTAGGGTTTGGATCCAATGATTGAAAATGCAAACAATGGTCTCAGAGTTGACTTAACAACAGTATGTTATACATGACCAATTATTATTATCATTAGTACAACATTAGAGAATCATATCMCTATTTTTGTGGTTTCTGCTGTCTACAAGATGGACAACCACTGTTTCATTGGTTTGTAAAAAAAATAAGAAAGAAAGTAAGAAACAATTTTTAGTACAACTTTATGCCTTTTGGTTGAATTTTGTTGTTTCTTCAATTCACTTCCTATTCTCCCTCAATAAAAAATTCTTTTTTTTTGTATAAGTTTGAATTGTGTAACTCAAGTTTTTGAATTCTATGCACTTATGTAACTGCAGTTTTGCAGCAAAATCATGCCCTCAAAAAAAGCAATTTGAGTTTTYACATGAAATAAAAAACTGAGTAAAATGTTTACTAAGCGTAACACATGCTCTTTTAGGTTCCTCCATCTCCATTGGCATCACAAGGACCAGCACCAACAGCCTCAGCTAACTTTGTTGTGGTTGAGTCAGGTGACTGCAAACCTAATCCCACTACACCAGAGGAGGTAACAGAACTGTATGCCAGACTTGAAGATGCTTTAATYAAGCAAACAGAGGTGGGCAACATCAATCAATAAAACTAGGCTAATTACAATTAAACTACTTGTACATTGTCCTGATTTAAGAAGGTCTAGGGTGGTTCTCTCTAGGSCATTTTCTTCAAGTTGTCTCTATTCAAGTTTTTACCTCTAGCCTGCATTGAATTTGCTGAAATGTTTGGTGCAAAAGCCAAATTCAGTTTGMAGGCATCATTAATATGTCTGCAAGGAGTGGAATATTCACTTTTAAGGGAGTATGTGTAAGTTTAAAGACATTTACACATGCAGCTTGTCTCAGTTCATCTTAGTTTCCCCTCTTTCTGTCTCCCTTTTTTACAATCATCAGTGCCTTGAATATTGATATTTTTATTTCAGATGTGCATCAAAAATGGAAAACATTATCAACAGCTAGGAGATCTGAGCAGTGCTAAAATGTAGGATACTTGATTTGACTAGACTGTTAGTTAGCTAGGTCTACTTAAATGAATACAATTTGTATAAAGTAAATTGCTGTCAGAGTTCTTAAAAATATATTTTGTTGGGTTTTGTTTGTTGGTTGTAAATGTTATTATTATTGTTGTTGTTGTAGGTATGAAAAGATGGCCAAAACGCTTCATCAAGATTTAGATTCTGTCAAAAGTGCAAAGAAGCATAAAGATCCGCCACCGAAATTCCACTACGAAAATAAGACATTTACCATTGTTAAGTAAGTAGCGAATCAACAATTAATTCTCCTTTCATTTCATTTTCAGAATCTTTCTTTTATTTTCCTAAATAATGTTGATAATCGATGGTTTCCTTCAGTTCTTTTCCAGATTTGAGCGATTCTCAAGTTGAAATAGAAGTTGTTCGATGTCTGAACATTCCTCTTCCTTCAGGTGAGTAGCTAAATGTCACTTCCATCATAGAATGGACTCCTTTAATCTAATATTGTAATTAGATGTGCAAATTGGCACACAAAGATACGCATATGGATTTTATCTTCAAGTGTTGAAGAGAAGGTGAATTCGTAGGGTCCAAGTGTTTACCATCCATGAAATGAAATCATCTTTTAAAASAACTTTTATTTACTTTAAAGCCGGCAAAATACGAGATACAAAAACCAGCAACATTACAAAATCCTCTGTTGCGAGTTGAAGAAATCTCGCACGCTGATTGGTTGATTTGGTGATTTTGWTGCGTGCCAAGTTTCAATCTCGATGAAAAACGAGAAACAAACTAGCCAAAATTTGTATCTGAAATTATAGCGAGAGTCTACTTTGCGAAACACTTTCTTCAACTTGCGACAGAGGATTTTCTTTCGTGCCAAGTTGATGGTTTTTGTATCTCGTATTTTGCCGCCTTTAAAAATATACGACAGTATTGTTCTTTTCTATATGAAAAGAATATGTAAGATATATAGGTATTTCATAGATAATTATATGATAAATATCGGTATTTCATGGATATTTTTTTCTTCAATATTAAAATATGATAAATGGCATAATCTTTTAGGGTAAAAGTTTAACTGTGTAATCATTTATTCTGTGTGATTAGGATATGAACCCAAGGACATGTATACATATGTGACGTTTGATTTCCCATATCCCAGCGTAAGTAATCTTACTCAGTATAGAATGATGAACAATGAGAGAAAATGAGGGAGTAGCTTTAGCGTAAGTAGGGGGCCACAAATATTTTGGGAAATTTGATAAATGTATGAAAAAAATTTGAAATATACGATTTTTGAAGCTTTTTACAATGTGTGCCGCCTAAAACTTTTAATTTTCGCAACACACTAGGACTTTTCTCTCGCTTCTCGGCGGGTGAGAAAAGTAGCTCTGTTTGCAGAGTACGCCCTAGGGGAGTAGGAAAACAAAGAAAATGATATTGAGTAGTGATTAAAATTTTTGTTAATGGAATATTATTATTTAATTTGTATTTATAGTCTGACGAACCGCAGAGTGGAAGAACTAAAACAGTAAAACATTCAATAAATCCTGGTAAAGTGTTTTTTTTTTTTTTACTTTTTAACGTGAATTCAGTTGATTTAATGTTTATTTTCATCAAATTGTTCTGTTTTCAGATTACAATGAATCGTTCAAAGTCAACATMGACAGAAAAAATAGAGCTCTAGCAAGAATGTTTAGACGACARACAGTAAAATTTGAAGTCAAATATGAAAGGTTTGTACATGTCAGACGTCGAACTTTTYCCCCGTCTAATCTAATAATATATTTTAATATATATACTATAATTATTGCTTGCATGTAGTTTACGAGGAGTTTGTAGTATAATCAGTACTTGACATTAACGGATTATATTGAGTTTGACCAACTTTTTTATTCATTTATTTAGAAATATTTTCAAGGGTGACAAAGCCTTGGGTCAGGCACAAATCAAGTTGGCTCCATTTGATTCAAAATGTGAAATTCACGAGTGTGTCGATGTAAGTTCTTGAAGGGGCATCACTGTTCGTCAATATGAGAACTCAACACTCGAATGCTAAGCGTCCTTTTTTGCTCAATCAAAACACCTATCTTCAAAAAYAAACGMACTGAATCTGTTCTAAGTTTGTCTACAGGAGACCGTTACCATCATTATAATTTTTCTAAAGGCATTTAATTTTACTAAAGTTGCAAAACACAGGTATACAAATTTACGAATAAATTTGCCACGTCTCTTGTTTCTAGCTAATGGACACTGATAGAGGAAGAAGGTCTGTTGGTGGTAAAGTAGAAGTGCGACTAAAAATCCGTGAACCATTGACCGACAAAGACGTGCAGATGGAGAACTGGAAGTGGCTTGTTATCGATATGCACCTTGGTGGACGCAGGGTGAGTTTTSTGTATAGTCTCTTGCAGCTAGTGTTACCATTACATAAATTATGCTTAAAACCTTATTGCATTTGTGAAGAGTACAAAATATATGTAACTTTAGTTACTTCTCCTTTATTCTACTAAGCATTAGGGGAAAATGAGTCAACTAAACATTCTCCAAAATCCAGTTTTGCTTGTTTTTGTCGCGTTACCTACGATGTTCTACTTGGAAAAAAACAATAAAAGAAACAAGAACGACTTGTAACTCATCAATTTGGCATTTTTGTAAAGAAAATTCAGAAGAGGATTTTTGGGGATTACTTTTGCCAACATGAAAACGCAAATTACCCATCGTGATATATGAACCATTGTTTGTTARCTACTCTAATCTTGTTTGTTTTCTCTTCAGGCACCAGAACTTGATGTGGTAAGTAATCTCAACCAGTTTCCAATTTCTATAGCTTGTATTCCAAATAAATATAATTATTGATTGATCACTTTATTGATTGCTTGTTCGTTACGTTGTTTTCTAGGAATCGATAACAKCAAAAACTTCACCAAAACCTGGACGAACCGTGAATCAGGGGAGGTAAGAAAATAACCTCAACCCAGCTAATATTTCTACATTGATGTTTTAAACATTCTTCTCTTGTAACAAGCCTTCAGCCAGTCTGCATGAACACACACGTGATTTGTGACGTAATATCTTGGATGTTTGTGATTGGTCGGTTTATTGACGCGATGTTCTTGTTTCATCGTAGTACCGCCAACTCCAAGGTCTGTTGTCTTTCATGATATCAGGACTTTGAAAGATGATACAACAACAGTACAACCTGGCTGAAGGCTCGATCCTGATTCCTTCTTCTCAAAGAAACTTTTTTCTTTCTCTCTTTCCTTCCTTCCATTTTCAATTCTCTCGTTTATTTCTCTCTTTTCTCTTATCTGTCTCGTCGTTTTTGTACATCCAAAAGTATCATATATTTATAGAATTAATTGTAAAAAAGAGGAAACATAGACTAGACTAAATAAAAAGGCGAAAATAGACACATAACAGTGACTTCTCTTTGCTTTTTATTTTGTTKCTCTTTACCGACAAGTGCTGAAACGGTAGTGCTAAATAATGAATAGACTAAATAAATTAAATTGATTGATTTTCCACTTTGCCTTTAAAACGCCCTTGATATAATATGACTCGATATGTCTCCAAGCATACTATGGGAGCAATCGTGATCTTATGGATTACAAGATAGTGTTTGACAGCACGTATGTAAGAGCATAAAATCATGTTTAGTCCCTTATAAATGTACCTATTTGCCGTGCTAGTGTTTTAAGTGCATGTAGCCACGATAACTAAATAAGTATCCATTGAATATTGCAAACATAAAGTTATTTATAAAATATAATTTTAAATGCACGTAAGTTGGCTGGGATGGTAGCGGCACCGATCTATCGTGTGAGAATCGGGGCCTAAACCCTGTCCCTGAACTTCTTGCGTCTTCGTCTTTAGGGGTTGATCATTTTTATCTTACATCCCACGTTGTAGCAGAAGACGAACATTCACAATATAATTCATTTTTAAACAATCTCGTCGACGTTCATAAAATAATATTTGTKTATAGTTGATTTGACTTTTTGCTTGTTTACTCGTTGCCATAGCGTCAATGACCTGGTCAGCCTTGAAGTCTTGAAAATGGAGAAGCAGCTAGCGGAAAGGCAGGTGTGTAAGTCTAAGGAATTAGTTTAGGATCAAGCAATATTTCTCGACAACCTATTCTACTTTCCATTTCTTCAGCAACTCCTTTTGCCGGCAACAGTAACTGTAACAGTAACAGTTTTATTTATTTATCATCCGTATTTACATTTGAAGTTTGCCCTCTTAGTTAGTCCAAGACTATTCGAGGCGAGGGCGATAATGAAGGAGAAAAACTAGTTGACATTGAACGTCAAGAAAATGTTTTTTGTTTTTAGATTTCCGCTCAAAAATCCAAAGGACATTCTCCATCTTCAAATATTGTTCAACGGTACCAAGAAATAAATGGAAAATTGAATAGCATCCAAGCAATGCTCAACAAGGCTGATAAACAAGCACTGACAAGTATGTTTCAATGTGTCTTTCATACTAAAATACTTAAAAGTTTTTTTTGTGTGTTTTTTAGCGTTTTGCAATTTTTCAAGTTTGTCAATGAAATATGATGCGAAATCTTCAAATAACCGATGTTTTTGGATCGGTCGATTATAGATTATGTTTATCAGCTTACAAGTCAGATGAAAGTGGAACAGTCAAATGCTCAAAAAGCCATGCAAACAGGAAATAAGGTACAATTCATTGAACGAATGAGTGCTGAAAGTTGAACGAATAGAATTGAATGAATGAATAAATAAAAGTGTGCGTTTGAAGTATTAAGGGATGCGACAAAACTGACGTGTTCTTTTTCGGAACAGTTATGTAAAAAGATAAATTTAACACCGTAAAAAAGTACTTTTTTACGGTGTTCAATTTATCTTTTTACATAACTGTTTCTTTAAAAACACCGACGCAGCTCACACTAGTTTACCGCTAGTTCCCACCGTGTTCTTTTTCGGGCGTTACTCCATCGCACCCATAATTCATTGCGGTCTGGGAATACTAATGTTCAATAAATTATGTACAACTTTTTAACTTTGCTGTAATGAACGTCGAAAGCTCGAAAGCTCTGGAAGCTAAAATATTTAGCCGACTAGACTGTAAACGGTTTAGTTATGAGCTTTGTCTAAGACAAGTTATTAACCTAAGAAAATAATGGCAATTTATTAGAAAAAGCCGGGTATTTTGATCTTGTTTATGCTTTAACTAATCTAAACTTAGACACTTTAGTCTTCACCTTTGAGTCTTTGAGTGGGCGTCGGTGCAGCCTTTATCCAGAGGCAAARGAGTGCTTWACGAAATAATCCCTTTAWGCATTACATGTAATCTTTATTAAAGTAGAGCTGTATTCRCAGTGGCGGATCCGGGRGGGATTGGATTGGGTGTTAACCACCCCCTCCCCCTTTTTCCAGTGTTAAAGAAAGAASTAGATGAATTGTTCATTCAGAAAATAAAGACTTGTACATCTGGATGGGTCTCGATGTTGTTTAATTATATTTAAAAGTCAACAACGGAAATGATTGTAATTATTTTCTCAGCATTTTCATGTATTTTGTTATTCCAAATTGCAACTTCAGCTTTGTTTATTTGCTTTGTTTAGTTTTTATTTTCGTTTTGTTTGTTTTTGGCGATGTAAGAAAATGGTCTTATCGACTAGTTTTCCTGCTTTCCTCTGTTTCGGTTTCTTTGTCCCGGTGCCGCAACACCCATTTAGCAGTGTGCTTCTCTTCTGTTTTTTNCTGGTTACTCCATTGCACCCATAATTCATTGCGGTCTGGGGATACTAATGTTCAATAATTATGTACAACTTTTTAACTTTGCTGTAATGAACGTCGAAAGCTCTAAAGCTCTGGAAGCTGAAATATTTAGCCGACTAGACTGTAAACGGTTTAGTTATGAGCTTTGTCTAAGACAAGTTATTAACCTAAGAAAATAATGGCAATTTAATAGAAAAAGTCGGGTATTTTGATCTTGTTTATGCTTTAACTAATCTAAACTTAGACACTTTAGTCTTCACCTTTGAGTCTTTGAGTGGGCGTCGGTGCAGCCTTTATCCAGAGGCAAARGAGTGCTTWACGAAATAATCCCTTTAWGCATTACATGTAATCTTTATTAAAGTAGAGCTGTATTCRCAGTGGCGGATCCGGGRGGGATTGGATTGGGTGTTAACCACCCCCTCCCCCTTTTTCCAGTGTTAAAGAAAGAACTAGATGAATTGTTCATTCAGAAAATAAAGACTTGTACATCTGGATGGGTCTCGATGTTGTTTAATTATATTTAAAAGTCAACAACGGAAATGATTGTAATTATTTTCTCAGCATTTTCATGTATTTTGTTATTCCAAATTGCAACTTCAGCTTTGTTTATTTGCTTTGTTTAGTTTTTATTTTCGTTTTGTTTGTTTTTGGCGATGTAAGAAAATGGTCTTATCGACTAGTTTCCTGATTTCCTCTGTTTCGGTTTCTTTGTCCCGGTGCCGCAACACCCATTTAGCAGTGTGCTTCTCTTCTGTTTTTTTTTTTTTTAATCCAAGGTCAAAAAATGATGTTCAACAGTTTTAACCACTGACTTGCAGGTGTTTTTACTGTTCTTTAAAAAGCGTTGTAAGTAGGTGAATTTACTGACGGTCAGTTTGTGGATATTCAGCTTAGAGCTTTTCAAATTRGACTTACTTAATATCCTTTTATTGCCTTTGAGAACGGGCGGCGGATCCAGAAAGTGACTAACTCAAGACAAAAACCCTTYTGAAATGGATGGATTAAGGGCTGCGGAAAATAATATATATTCTTTTTTTTTTAAATGAACGCTGCCTTAGTTTTTTTTCAGAATGAGTCCCATTTTATTTGTTYGAGTCATCCCAAACGGATTCTTGTTTGAAGTCACCTTATCTCAAAAGACTATGTCCAGTTGTCCAGTTCAAACATACAATTCATGCTTTTAAAAAGTTGTTCACTTCAAAGATATAACCAATGGTAGAAATGGCACGTGACCTCATTTTATTACCCACTTTCCGCGCTTGTAGGATGTCAGTGGAAAAATGACAGCGCGTCACTTTATTACATGTACAATAGAGAATACTCCACGCGCGGAAGCTGAACCTATGACTCGTGACAAACGTTTTTTTCTGGATAAAAATTGCCGGGTTTGTGATCATAGCATAAAGTATCAGCTGAAACCAACAGACCTTATAAAAATCCTTTTATTTTTGCAGACCGAAGCACAGCTGTGTCTGACTCGCAAGAAACTAATGCAAAACGAGGTAAGACCATCATCTATTAGTTGAGCTAGCAGAATGTTCTGAAAGAATGCTCTGTTTTGCTTTCTTTTGTTAGTTGTTATCACTATTAATTGTTGCTCCTGTTTTTCATTTGTTTAGATTATCTCCCTCAAACCAAAGCTGGGATTAAAATGAAATAGAATAGAACTGCAGAATTGAATAAAAAATGGAAAGATGTTCTCCGAGACAATATGGTGACCRGAACAACTCTTCAGTRAACTTTAAAATCTATAACCGGTTTATCATGAGTCYAGTCCTTCAGATTCTTCGACTTTCCAGTTGTCTTCGCACKATTTTGCTTGCAAAACTGATYACAGRATATAATTTGTCGGCATTYATCTAAAAAATTCTAAAATGTATGATCTGAGTCGAAAAGTTTTATYTTCAGTTTAAAATAAAATTTCAGTCACTCAGTTTGAGTCGTGGTACGGAAATATTAACCTTTCAGTTTATTCAATACTTCAAGTGTAATTCCAGAGGTATCGAAGGGTTTGATGGAACGTCCAAACGAAACTACCGGAAAAATCGGACGTCCCTTTTTTCCCGCTTCTTTTCGGATTCCAAGCGAAGGGACTACAAGGGCCTGGGAACGAGGTTGAAGCGAGAGGTTGACGCGTAATGTTTTTCCCGCTCTTTTCGGTTCTCCCGGTAAACGCGCATACCGTATGCTTTTCCCGCTCTTTTTGGTGGGTAAAGTCAAAATTTTCTCTTCAACCATTGCTGGTTGACACGAATAAATCATTTGATTAGCTGGTGAGAGTTTTAAAGTACTTTTTAAGAAAAATGTGTTTCATTTTCCATGGAATTCCCACATACATGNAAAGTTCTCCTCACTGCCTCTTCTGTCTAAGATTTTTAGATGCCGTTTATAGAATTTTGGCGCCCATGGCACAACAACAATTTTAAATCAGCATTAAAAGCTGAAAGGTCAATTAAATAGAAGTAATTATGGTATTTCAGAGAAATAACTGGGGATTTAGTTAATTTCCGGGCTAACACGTTTAGTTGTTTCTTAACTGGGTCGGTACCTTGAATCGCAAAGCTGTCATTTAAACTAAAATTGTCATTTGTGATGGCCTTTACTTAAATTTCCTTTCTGTCAATGCTGAGATGTTTTTTTTTTGCCGCGACGATAAAATCCTTTTAACGCTAATCCACTTCCCAATAAAAGCATATATCACAATTTTGACAACTTACTTTAGAGTCGTCATTTGGCTACTACAAGGGCAAATATACCCTATATTGACTTCAAAATATAACTGCTTAAAATGAATCTATTAAAGTAAATCTTGAAAAACGTTTTGTTCTTTGTCGCAATTTGAAGTCGATGTCAAACGCCAAACTTTTTACTTAATTTTATCTTTATATTTCGTATTATTGTTTACTTGTATTTTCTTACTTTACATTGTTACACATTCTTTTTATTATATTTCATTGTACAT